TCAACATAGAGAAAAGTAAAGTCTTACACTTAGTCAACAAAAACCAAAAGTACACATATAGATTGGGTGAAACCAGGCTTATAGCAGTAATCGTGAGGGAACTTGGAGTCTTAGTGGACAATCAATTAAATATGAGCCAACAGTGTGCAGCTGCAGCCAAAAAAGCCAATGCAATCCTAAATTGCATTAACAGAGGGATTTAATCAAGATCATGTGAGGTATTAGTACCACTCTATAAAGCCTTAGAATACTGCAACCAGTTTTGGTCTCCACACTATAAAAAGATGTTGAAACTCTAGAAAAAGTCAGAGAAGAACAGCAAAGATGATCAGAAGACTGGAGGCTAAAACATATGAAGAATGGTTACAGGAACTGGGCATGGCTAGACTAGTGAAGAGAAGGACCAGGGGAGACATGATAGCAGGAGGGGGGTCAACCTATTCTCCAGACAAGGAATAACGGATGGAAACTGATTAAGGAGAGATTCAACCTAGAGGAGAAATTTTCTGACAGAACAATCAACCAATGGAACAGAATGCCTTCAGAAGTTGTTGGTGCTTCATCACTGGAGGCTTTTAAGAAGAGACTGGATTGCCATCTGTCAGAAATGGTGTAAGTCTCCTGCTTGGGCAGGGGGTTGGACTAGATGACCTACAACAGACATGTCAAGCACAAGGCCCGGGGGCTGGATGCGGCCCGCGAAGTGGTTTCATGTGGCCCGCGAAGCCATCCTGGAAACAGTGAGGGAACGGCCCCCGCTGCCTTGGCCCTGGCCCAGGCCAGCCGGGAGCCAATGTACAATTTTGTGGTGGCCATCTATGCTGAAACGCATTCAGTCTTAGCTCCATAAGCCCCCCCCGGCATGGTCTGAGAGGAACAGTGAGGCTCCTCCAGTGGACCATGCCTTGGCACTTGCCCGGGTCCCACCCCCTTCTGCCAGAGACCCTCAGATCTATCCCACTCCTGCCCAGGCCCCCACCGGCCCCCTTGACGCAAACGATGTAGAGCTGTCCACACCCACCCAGTAGGCTGCACCCACCCTGGCCACACCTACCCGGCCACCTGAGGGCAACCGCAATGCTGATGCGGCCCTCAATGAAATTGAGTTTGACACCTCTGACCTACAAGGTCCCTTCCAACTCTGTTATTCTATTCTAAAAGTTATGACGGCCCTAGTTCTAATGAGTCCTGTGCTTTAGTATTTGGCTCTCAATTCCTCTCCCAACCCCAGAAAGGAGCCGAGCCCTCTTATATCTCTCAGCTGCAGCTCTCACTTGCTGGTCTGCTTGCCTGGGACTCCTACCTCTTCCCACACTGCAGTCACATGAGGTCCTACCTTAATGACCCACAAGGTCCTGGAGTTTTAATGACATGTGGAACTGCCAGGATTGCCCTCACTAAGCAAAGTGGTCCCACGATGTCACTTTTTATAAGACCCGTTTCACAGCAGTGGAAATTATGGCGCCAATTTCTGTCGCAACCAAAGTAACAACCATATTTCTTTTCCAAGCTCAGGAGAGGGCTGGAAGAGTCATTTCCCCCCCCTTCTGGACAGTTGGCATCCTGGCCGGCTTCATACCTTCAACAGCAGTGCGCTATGCGTAAGAAAATCACGAGAGGTTTTCCTGGCAGAGGATTTCAAGGCATTGCTGCAGATTAAGATCTTCCATTAGTACAGTTGAAGGGGGCAATGAAAGCCTGGCAGCATTGGAACTTCAACTCATCTTCTGCTTGCAACTCCGATTTTACCACCCGGAGAAAGGGCTGTGCAGGAAAAAAGTCACCTGATCCCTTCTCAGGCCGGGTTCAGGCCAGGACACATCATCAAAACCGCATTGGTTGCAATGCTCGTGGACTTTTGGAGGGCCTGGGATAGATGGGATACAAGCATTTTGTGCCATGGAACCAGACAAGCTGCCTGGAAATGTTCAATGATGAGATTTTATCCTGCACCCCCAAGAGAAAGAACTGGCTGGAATAGACTTCAGTGATTCCCCAAGGGAGGTTGCTGATGGCACATTTTGTTTCTCCCTCGGATGCTTCCCTTTGGTTTAATAAACCAGGGGTAGTCAACCTTGGCTCTTTTATGATTCGTGGACTTCAACTCCCAGAATTCCTGAGCCAGCACAGCTGGCTCAGGAATTCTGGGAGTTGAAGTCCACGAGTCATAAAAGAGCCAAGGTTGACTACCCCTGGTTTAGTTCCTGCAAAAGAAGCTCCTGGCTCAGTTGGAGCGACTATGAGGGCGTCCCTGCCATACCCGAAAGGACAGACTAGACTTGGATCGTCCTGGAGAAAAGTGATGCGTGTGGGTCGCTAAGAGTGGATAACGGCACCTAATTAAAAAAACGTTAGAAACTCCGGATAGACCATCTGGCTGTGGACTTCTGGGAGTTGAAGTCCACATGCCTTAAAATTGTCAAGGTTGAGAAACACTGGGATAGAGAGAGAATGAGTGTGTTTCCGGCCGCTAGGTGGAGCTCTAACACAACACCGGCGCCTGGAAAACGGCAGCTGAGGTGAAAGAAGTTAAAACCAGCGAGTATTGCTAGAAAGGCTGTCGAGGCGAGGAGAAGGACAGAGGAACCTCCTCTTCCGGCTCATCCTTGGGAGGATGGAGGCTTTGGGGGGCGGATCTCGTGCTCTTCCCAGGGTCGAAGCAGCAGCTGGAAGGTGAGTGGAGGGCAGGTCGGAGGAGAAGCCGGGAGAATATTCGGCCGTTTGGTTTCCTCCACGGCGTGGAAGCAGCGAAGCAAAATACTAGGCTGAAACATGTCGGCTGCTGCTCCATGTTCCTTCTCTCCCCCATACTTATGCTGTATAATTTAAAACTTCTGCCCGGAAGTTTT